TTAATACATATGTAAGGTAAATAGCAGACTAAAAATAAGATATACACGTAAAATGTACCAACTGCGGATTTTCTGATTCTCTCAGCGTTTGGAACTACTTTCCTGTCCTGTGCTTTTTGTTGGAGATGAAGGACGTGAATTTCTTTCCTGTGGCGTCGTACAGCTGCATAAATCTTACAATAAAATAATCCTGTGGAAATAAGGCAAATAGGCGGAATTATAGCGCTTATAATGTTGTGTATATGTGAGTTCCATAGCTCCCAGAGAGAAGAGAATGTGCTCAATGTCCATATTAAGGCCACCGTAATAACAACACGCCTGCGAGTCACAAATTCTTGATATCTGAGATGGAGATGGATGGCTAAGAATCTATCCACAGTCAGAGCAATGACACCAAAAAACGAAGCGTTGCACAGTAGAAATGCAGTGATTTCAAACGCTTTGGTCAGGTCTTTGAAGGCTGAAGTCTGACTTGTTGCCACCTTCAAAGGTTGAACTACTAAGCCGACGCCAAGATCAGAGACGGCTAAACTCATGAGTAATGTCTTTAGAGTTTTTGGCAACACCTTAGTTTTCTTCAGTGCCATTATTGTTAAGATATTCAACATCGTGGCGGTGTAGGATAAGAATATATTGAAGGCCAAATCCAAAATGAACAAGGGACCGTCAGGTTCCATCATCACTGACTTAACCTACCAATTACATTTTAAAAGAAGAATACGTCAATAGATGGAAAATTCTGTCGATTTGAATAAACGTTTGTCAGTAGCCTTATATCTTCATGACCAAATTTTACCTACGACTTTTTCCTTTTCGTTAAAGATGATTAACAATTGAAAGTATTCGTGGTCCCTACCTTATTATGAGAAGACGATAGTTAATAAAGCGTGTGATGGAAAATTTGATGCGCAATATTTGTTTAAAAATGCCAAAAGCGCATCATTCATCAATGAATAGCAAGCAATGACTAATGATCGTACATTTTTTTTCTTACGGAAGGCTGTTGAGTCTCGTCCGGTGGAAACACTCAGCAAAAACTCGTTTTGAAATGAAGAATGTCACAAAATTTTGATTAATTAATGGTGTTTCTTTCGTTTTTCGCACTCAAGATATTAGTATACTCAAAATTAAAATCAGCCCTTTGCAGCTGTGTCCACTAACACCCGATTGAATTTATTCAGTGGCTTAACAAATACCGAATTTCCTCGAATAATAACCGTCCCTCGATGACCTCGATTAATCGCCTCCCTCGAATAATAGCCTGTACGTGAACAGACGTGCCCCCGAAAAATCTCTCCCTCGATCCCGATCCTGAGGGAGGGGGGACGTCTGTACACAGGGTATCGAATAATCACCCCCCTTTGACGGACATATTCAAGTGAATTCAATTTAATCCATTAAAGTGCAATGTGATCCGGCAACATAATTGACCAGTGACGATTCAAACTGTGAAAAGTAATCAACGAACTAAACTGGGAACACTTAAATTTCTTATGTTCAGTTTATTTGAAGCGATTATTTTTTTTTATTTATTTGGGAAATAAAACAAAATATTTAGGGCACGACTTCAAGTGAGCAATATTTGAAATAATCACTTTCCTCGAATAATCCCCTTCCCTCGAATAATCGCCTCTTTTTTGAGCAAAAAAGGGAATAATCGTACCCGGCTATTATTCGAGGAAATACGGTAATACGACCAATACTAGATCCGGTGCATGCATAAAAAAAGAAAGAGCATTCAAAAGTTAAAAGGAAATTTGAATTCGACCAAGATGTCTCTCAATATAGCCTCCAATTAGGTTAAAAAGAAAAATAATGAAAGTGATGACTCATTTGGGTAGTTTAGGGACCTAAAACCCTGGATACTTCGTTATGCAGCTGAAATAGGGACCTTAACCAACTACGACGACGACGGCGGCAGTGAAAACATCAGTTAAAAAAATGAATTTGCGTCCTTTCAAGCTTTATCGCGTCTATTTGGAACCGTTCAATTTGTCAAATGTAGGCGACTTTTCCGGAGTTGAATTCTTAAGGGCTTTATCCATGTTAAAATATAGTTAAAGGAAATTTTTCGTCTGATGTCCAGGTCCTCCATTAAACGTCGCGCTGGGATGTTTCACGTGGAAGCCGTGCAGTGGACGTCAAAAAATTGTACTAAAAAGCGTGATGCAAGTTCAGAGCTGTTGTTTTGCTCATAAAACTAATTGTTTTTTTGCGTTGCCGACCGTTTTCGTCGTCGTCGTCGTCGTAGTTGCTCGTGGTTTTGATGGCGGAGAAAAAAACCTGTCCGAAAAGAACGCGACATTCGTGGTAACCATGGAACCTTACTGAGAATATGAACACTTTTGACTTAGAAACCGGATGTTTGAATCCTTAGAATAATTATAATATGTAAATTAAGAATAGAATAGATGTTTTTAAAGGCAAGCTTTGTTTAACGGCCATCGTCATGGAAACAGGGCTAAGGAGTAGAGAGAATACCGAGGGCGGGAATAAAGACTTTCAAAGTTTCGAGCTTTGTAAACAGGTGGACTCTTTATAAAAGTAAATATGCCAAACTCCATATTTTTTAACTTTGATTGAACGATTTTGCACATGAAAGTTCATCTCCTCTGTCAGTTTGAGCCCAACGCAAAGCTTCCTTCTCGCAGCTTATAGCCATAGGTTGCGTACACAACATGCGATTTTTTTTTCTCTTGTTAGGACGATTTTAGCCAATTAATAATTCTTAGTTCTGGTAGCTACATGATTTTAAGCAGAATTTATCTCCAGAGATGTGTTTGTGCAACTGTGTATTTTTATTCTACGGATATCAACTAAACCAAAAGAACCCAACAACCAAGAAGAAAAAAGAAAAGGAAAAAAATGAAAGAAGGCAGAGGGCCTGTCCGGGAGTCGAACCCGGGACCACTCGCACCCTAAGCGAGAATCATGCCACTAGACCAACAGGCCAATGCTTACAGTATCAGTGTGATTTATACATAAATCATTTTGTCATTTGGAAAATTCCACGCGTGTTACTAAAAGTACCTGTAAGTTATACCTGTATCAGCAGCATGTACTTCAGACAAGACAAGACGCGTTTGAAGTAAAAATAAACCTTGCAATTGTAGTAAAAAAACCGTTGACTTAAACCTCAAGTGTAGCAATACGCTCCTTAAAACAGAGAAAGGTATAAAATGAGCTACAGATGGCCCAAACAAATACATACACTCCCATCATAGATCATGCAAAGAAACACTTTCACTCGCCAAGAGGTTAGAGAATTAAGAAAAGAGATAAAGCGAAGAATACGAAAAGGAAATTGCCAGGTCTGGAGCATTTCAATTCTCTTCGTTTGTCCACTGTTTAAGCCCTTTATGTGGCCAAAAATGCACGTGAAAGTCCATAATCTACCATCAGAAATAGCAACTGTCCACTTAATAAGAACCCGTTAGGGAACGTTAGAAGAGATATAGATTTATTCGGTCATCAGCATTTAGTTATGGTAACAAAAATCCCGGCTCACTTAAGCCACACCAATGAGTGAAGTGAAAATTGCTTTTTTAGAAAACAATGAAAAACATCTGCACAGGGTCTTGTGATTGATTTACCATATTAAAAATATCTACATTTATGTATAACATAACGTCTACAGAAGCCTTCGTAGATTAACTCTATTCAGACCGCTCTCAATCATGTGTTCAAAACCGTTTAACCGCCAAACTTAGCGACGTCTCCTAAAAATTGTCCGTGAACATTTTAAAGTCGTCGAGACGTGTACGACAACAATGATGTTACCATGGTAACCAAGTTTTGACAGTCATGTTTTCCAAATTTGCATTTTTCCTGTAAAAATGATTTATTTCTATTTATTGAATTATAGCATTACACTTTATTATGCAATATTTTAACAAATTTATTATAAATCTTAGTGTTATCGAGGCTTTTTTAATTATAGTGACTGATTTAAGAAACAAAAACGTGTCTGATTTAAAATGATCAAGTGGGAGAAATTGGGTTCAATTTTTAATTTTTAACAGTGTTAGGTTCTCTCGAAATTTCATAACTTGAGGATTGTTTTGCATTCTAATCATCCCTTAACCCTATTCAGATCGGGCTTTTTTCACTTCCGTGGGAGACGGCTTCGGAGGTTTCCCCTCTATAACTTCAAAACTGCTCCTGATACGGTTATCTAGGAATAACTTGATTCATACAATGTTGAATTTATTGGCAGAATCCAATTTCCATCAATTTTTCCCCTTAAAGGGATTAGTATTTTACACATTAAAAGCCGTTAACAATAGGAGTAATGTCATCATGACGTCATTTATTATGCCAATGCTTTTAATTTTACTATTGACCCGAATAAATCATGGATTTTTGCAAAGGGTTTAGCCAATGACTTTGGACAAAAATATTATTTCATAGTGTTTTTTTGGGCTTAAAAAGGCCAGAAAATGTTGTTTTGTGATGTTTTATATCTACCTGGAGTTTTGAAAACCGAGTTGCCTGAAGTCTTAAGTCACGTCCAGCACATTGCAGGCAATCTTTCAAACCATAATTTGCTTAAAGCCGGGCTGCCTTTAAGGTAAAATTAAAAGTCGCCCTCTTCTGAGGACTAACCACCCTCAGCTGTTAACCAAGGGCTTCAAATGGCTTCCTGGAATTGATAGAAATCGGTGGAAATTCCAGAAAATATGCACGAGGTGGCCAACAGGCCGGCCCATAAGGCCAGCCTATTGCCCCCGTTTGAGGGGGGCTTCTTTCAACCTAAGTGCCATGTTGTTGCACAGACAAAGGGCTATCATCCGGTATGCATTTGGGGTAGCCGGGTTAAATTTCATTAGTTGGAGTTGTTCTAGAGCATGTTTTGTGCTGGACCTTGGATTTAATTATTTTGCTGAATTTTAGCACCGGAGCTAATATAGATCGTTTTCAGTCACGTGACTATTTTTCAATTGGCCGCCATATTGGTGCACATCAAATGTAAACAAAGAATACGAAGTTAGTCCAGGAAAATGGTTTTATGCGCGGTTTTTGGATGCGGGACACGAAGTGTCGGTGATAAAGGGATCTCCATGGCGAGAATACCGTCAGTCATAACTACTCAAGGTGAAGAAATGAGGGAACTCTCTGAAGAGAGGAGAAATAAATGGATTTCTGCCATCAGTAGAGAAGACCTCACAGACTCCATTTTGGAGCATGGCCGAGTTTGTGGAAAGCATTTCATTTCTGGTCAAGCGGCCAAGCTGTGGGAAAGATACGATCCTGATTGGGTTCCGACCCAAAATTTAGGTCACAAGAAATGTGATTCTGGTGAAAAGCTTCAAAATCTTGAAGCTGCCGCGAAGCGAGACGAGAGGGCTAGAGATCGTGAGCTGAAACGACGTGTTGCGGTAGAGCGTGAAATTGAAAAGCAGCTTCGAGAAGAAATTAAGCGCAAAAAACAAACACTTAATGAGTCAGGAGAAAGAGTTATGGATATCTCCTTCGATCTGGAATCAGTGATGAACGTAGAGCCTGAGAGTGGTGAGACTGGGACAGCGACTCAAACGGAAGAGTTTGAATATTTATTTGGCACCTCTGCCTCGAGACCGCCATTGGATGAAACGTATTTCGCTAATGACGACGAGAAGGTACGTTTTTACACCGGATTGCCTGCCTATGATGTGTTAAAAACAGTGTACCAGAATGTTTCGCCATTTGTTATAAGGAAGTCTCCAACGTTATCCAAATTTCAAGAATGTGTTCTCACGCTGATGAAACTTAAGCTGAACATGCCTATGCAGGATCTTGCATACCACTTTGGAATATCGCTACCAACTCTGTCAAGAATATTTTTAGCCTGGATGGTGGTTCTTGATGTTCGACTAGCGCCTTTAATAAAGTGGCCAGATCGTGAGGATTTATGGAGAACTATGCCTCAATGCTTCCAGTTTTCCTTTGGGAACAAAACTACAGTCATCATCGACTGCTTTGAAGTGCTTATTGCGAGACCTTCAAATCTCATGGCCCGAGCACAAACTTATTCAAACTATAAGAGTCATAACACTGTCAAAATTTTGGTTGGAATAACTCCACAAGAAAGCATTTCATTTGTCTCCAACGCTCGGGGTGGGAGGACTTCTGATAAGTATTTAACAGACAATTGTGGCATTCTCAAAAAGCTATTACCATGAGATCTAGTGATGGCTGACCGGGGGTTTACTATCCAGGAAAGCCTAATGCTCCACAAAGCTGAACTTGATATTCCAGCATTTACTAAAGGCAAAGACCAGCTGGATCTAGTTGATGTCGAGCAAACCCGTGGCATTGCAAATGTTCGTATACATGTGGAAAGAGTCATTGGGCTGCTAAGGAGAAAATACACAATTCTTTCAGGAATTTTACCAATTGATTTCTTGCAATGTGACCCTACTGGTTCCCAAGAGGCTAAAATTCCTGTGATTGACAGAATTATTACAGTGTGCTGCTTTGACAAACCTTTCCAATGGTATTGTACCCTTGCATAAAAGAAACAGTGTACTGTGAAACGGGTTGTACAAATCTTGTTGTTTCTGTGATCTGATATTGAGCACTACCAGGTAAAAAACAACCAATGGCTCTTTTAAAGAGCACCAGAGTTAATAATACAGTGTAGTGATGGTCAATTTAATCTTACTTACTTATCTCATGTACTTATCACAGGAAAAAATAACGGATTCCCATTTTTGGATATTTTTGGGTATTTAAAGAATACCCATAAAAATCCCAAATTTGGCAAAGTGAGACAAGTCCCAACCAGGGAATTCCCAACCAAGTTCCCAGATTGGGACTCGTCTCGCTCTTCCAAATTTGGGATTTTTGTGGGTATTCTTTAAATACCCAAAAATATCCAAAAATGGGAATCCCTTATTTTTTCCTGTGTATTTTGATTTGTTATGTGTGTAGGCAAGGAAGTGTTAATTTTTTTTATCAGCGGTGTCCTTGTGTGTTATTTGAAGCAATTTGAGCCCATTATCAAATTGTTTAATTGTTTGGACAATGCACAGTTGACCAGTCTCTTTTCTTCTTTCAGACTCAAAAAACCTTGAACACCTAAGGTATTTCAGGAATTTCAATTTTCTTATGACCAGTAGCAACAAAGATCAGAACATGTGAACAAACTAACAATATTATTGTTACGGTTTAATTTTCACACTTCCGATTGCCTTGTTCCTCAAGAACAATAACAGTCTTGAAATAAATTTAGTGTTCACAGTTTTCTGATTAACAAAATATTTTAATTTTTTTTTCTTTGAAAAAAACAACTGGGTTTGTAACTAACCTATTAACTGTATACAAAGAACCCAAATCCCCCCACTCCCCCTCCACTCATGGAAACATTTGCTGTTTTTTCTTTGTTTCTGCCTCCCCTTACAGGACTGTCAAACTTTTCTATCCCATCCTTTCTGCTTACATTCCCGCTGCTAATAAATATCAACACTCTCTAAGTTTGATAAAGTAGACTTTTTATGAATGCAAAGAGGCACAATTCAATTGCCATAAAGGAATTTGTGCACGCTTTTGCGTCATTAAGGCTATGCCATGATCACACTGCAATCATGCTGTGTGTGGCATCTGTTTAAATCGTCGGCAATCTTTTCTTTAAAAGAAGTTCAAGATGTAGGAAAAGGAGTTATAACTCCTCCCATTAGACAGTGTAATAAATGTGGACGCATCTGGCTAATGTTATAAGTTACATTCATTGGATTCAGGCCATAAACTAAACTTGTGTCATAAGCTGTTGAAAACACACCACAGTCAGAAGCATTTTTCTGTTGTTGCACAGGAATAAAGCGAACTCCCTTAAAGGCTGGTCCGGTCAGGTCTGAAGCCAGTTGCAATAACTCTTGTGCCAGGGGGGTTGATAAGCTATCATAGACATCCACATAACCTGGAGGACTATTTATGCTAGAAAAACATTCCCAGTGATTATTATTGATGTTGACTATTTGAATAAATGGTCTTGTCATTATGTCAAATTGATGGACTGGACCAAGAGTAGGCCTCTGAAATCCTTGTATGCTTGTACTGATTTTCTTCAGTAGTATGTGGGCTTCATGTATAATGACACAGTCTAACCATCCATTTGGGGAGGAGATTAAGTCATATTCATACTTGCCAAGTTTTCCCTCTGGCCCATACTTGTCACGAGGAGGCATCTTCTTTAAGACAGTTTTCACAATTGTTACTTCTTCACTGCCAGAACTTTCTGTTGGTTCTGCTTTTGTTGTGGCGTGTGTGACTGCTGGCTTGGTGTTTGCTGAGACATGCGTGGCTGTTGACTTGATGTTTGTTGACACTGGCGTGGCTGTTGGCGTGGTGTTTGGTGACACTTGCATGGCTGTTGGCTTGTTGTTGGTTGTGAAATGCATGACCATTGGCCTGGTGTTTGTTGAGACATGTGTGACAGTAGGCTTGGTGTTTGTTGAGACATACGTGACCATTGGCTTGGTGTTTGTAGAGACATGTGTGACAGTTGGCTTGGTGTTTGTTAAGACATACGTGACCATTGGCTTGGTGTTTGTTGAGACATGTGTGACAGTTGGCTTGGTGTTTGTTGAGACATACGTGACCATTGGCTTGGTGTTTGTTGAGACATGTGTGACAGTTGGCTTGCTGTTTGTTGAGACATATGTGACAGTTGGCCTGGTGTTTGTGGTGACATGCATGGCTGCTGGCTTAGGGGCTGTACCCTCAGTTGGCTTTTGTGCATTACTCATCATACAAGCTGGACAAAACCAAACTTTATTGTTATTTGGCATTCTCTTCCTTCCCAGACATGGCAAATGGAAAAACATCCCATTAGGGCAGTCCACGTTAGTGCACTTTACCAGCTTGTCGTTTTTGTTGGCTACAGTTTTATAAGTACAAATTGAGTTCATCTTCAGACCTTCACTTATTATGCTAGTTGACTTGTGCTTCGATCCTCCTCGCTTGAATCCTGGTAAAGTCCTACATTTAGGGCAGTACCAGGTCTTGGGGATAGCATCAATACCCAAGCATGACAAGTGAAATTGAAGAATGGCACAGTCTGGATTACAGCACTTGATGGTATCTTCCTCAGTATCCTGTCTGCAATAACACATAGCATTAACCAGTAGTGCCCATCTCTAGTTAGATTCACCCTTCTTGTGTACCATCGAGCAAGTACCTCAGGCAAAACACAAATTCTCCAAAATTTCTCTAACTTGGGTAAAACTTTGATCCATGGTTCTTTGTCTGGAAGTATTTTTGTTTGGACAAACTTGAGGTAATTAGTTGCTTCATTCACAGCACAGACAATGAAGTAGTTGTAGTTTAGCTTAGTGGTAAATAGCTGTTGCTGTACCTGCTAATAGTATTCGTGTGTGTGGAGCAGTGTGAACTGCCCAGCAATGTTCTTTGCAAGACAAGAGGAGGGTTTTGAAACATATGAATCAAAATCACAGTTCTCTATGCAATAAGGACACTTGATTTCCCCACAACCATCACCACAGCAGTCCCATGAGCATAGAAAATCTGGGGTAGCGTGTATCCAAGGATGTTCTTGATTAATAAAGAGACCACATTTTACAATCTTAAAGTTCACATGAGTTTTTTTCTTGTGCAGTGCCGGGTAACAAATCCTTTGAATCAAAGATTGCGATGGTAATGCGGGGTCTGAATGTGCTGCAGCCTTACTCTGCGAAGCACCGATTCTGCCTGCCCTGTGCTTAAAAAATTTTGTCCCACTTGCCTGTGAAATGGTTTCCTTTTGAACCTGAGCGATTTGTTCCTCGGTTATATCAATGTTAGTGCTCTGACAAAGTTTTATCAGCTCATTGTAAGGCAATTCTAAGTTATTCTTGTCGAACAAATCCATTACAGAAGGGATTTTGCGACTGAGCAACACGTAGCTGTAAGCATAAGGAGGTATCAAGCTCAGCACTACAGGCTTTGTTTTGGATTTGCTTAGAGCAGAGTAAAATCATTCCATTTCCGCTTGTGTCGGCGCTGGTACTTCCGGTTTCTGAACAGGGCTTTCAGTAAAGACGTTCGAGCCCGCAGAAGACTGGAGGTCATTGGATAGATTCTCTATCGTTGCATTAAGGTCAGCTTTCATTTTTTAGCTGATTTGAAGTTTATGTCTCTGACCTGGCGCATTCAACCACTTTTGCAAAGTTTGGTAGTATCCAGGAGCACTTCATTTGAGTACACGATAGCCGTCTATTTAACGTCGTCCAGGTCTCGAGATAAAAAAGCACGCTGGCTATATGGGAGCATGACTCGGCTAATCCCGCGTTGCATCCCAAACAATGAGCGCAGTTGATTGTCCCATCCATTTCGGTAATAATCCAAATTGGTATCAAGGCCTCATTCATGCGCTGCGAGTGCCGCACTTTCGCTAAAACCACGAACTTGTTTGAGATGATATGTCCTTGAACGCCCGAAACGAAACCCGAAACCATTTGATTATAAGCCTCGAGACTTCGGAAAGACTTAAATTGCTTTTGCGTGTAGAAGCTAGTTTCGAGAACCAAATAACAAAGAAGATTAGTAGATTCTACTGGTGGAAGGCAGTCTGGCTCGAAGCTTTTCCCCTCTATCAAAACAGGATCGATTCCAATATTTGAGATTTTCTGCAGATAACGCTCTCTGACTTTTATATCCAGCTTTTTGGCGTAATCCGAAATTGGGACGGGAATTACATTGCCTGGATCACACAAAGAAATAATATTTTCTTCACTAGAAATCATTCTTTTAGGTAGTAAAACTTACAGGAATTATAATTTTGGACTGTGTTTGCATGTGTTTAAAAGTGGATCACGTGACTCAGATGTGCACCAACATGGCGGGAATAAATTCCGTGACGTCACGTGAAAACGATCTATACCTGTCTTTCAAATCTCGGTGTCTCCCTCAAATTGAGGGGTTTGTGCCAAGCTACACAGGGCTATCATCTGGTATGCGTTTGGGATAGCCTGGTGAAATTCCAGGTGAGTGGGGTTGTTTTAAGTTTGATGTGTTTCCCCACCCCTACGCATATTTTTGATTTGTGCCGTTTGCATGCAAGCAATGATCATGACCCACTCTGTTGGTAAAGTTCCAAGTCAGCAAGCAGTTAAATTGGTGCTTGTAGGACGTGGTCTTGTTAAAAATGGGGTGAGTTGGGGAAATGGCTTTGCAATTGGTGACACTAGCACTAAAATTGTCCCTTAAAATGCCTTATTTTCCAGACTAATGAGGAAAGCTTCACTTTCGTTAAGCTCGTGTATTCAAGAATTTCTTTTTGAGATGAGATTTTACTTTTCCAGTAAGAAGAGGCACTAATTAACAATCTGTGCGAGAGACTGACACGTTTTAGTAGCCCGGTATTCACAAAACCAGGTATAAATAACGTGCGATTCTAGCCTATTGACATATTATATAGTAGCGAAATCGCATTTTCCAAAGGGGTTAATTAACCTATGATTTTGGTCAAAATTTTTTTCTTAGTTCGTTTTTGGCTTAAGAAGTTATGAATGAATGTTTAAAGAAGTTCTAGATAGACAACAAGCGTTTCTAGACAACAAAAAAATTGATCTTATATAGTCGCGAAATTCAGGAGTTTTCTAAACGGGTTAACCCGTGATTTTGGTTAAATCTTTAAAAGAGCCATGAAATGATGTTTGGTTATATTCTGCGTAGAGAAAAAAAAAAAACATTTTGCCTACACTTCCCAGAAAGACACCCTGCCGACACAAGAATAGCTATCATCTATAGTGGCGAAAACGGATTTTTCCAATGGGTTACCCGGGCGTCGGCCGTGATTTTGATCAAAAATATGAAATTTTTTTCAAAAGACTGGGAAAGAATGTTTGACGATGTTGTAGAAAGATTAGAGAGATAAGGATTAGGAACTATTTTGCAACGGCATCATTTATGATAAGGCAGAGATTTGGTCAAGGTTAGGCAAAGATTGGGTGCTTATAATAAGATACTTATTTGTATTATTAGGCAGCGATACAGTATGTTGCCCAGTATCCGGCCACTTCAGTTTAACATTGCAATAGGTTTCCTTTTATAGTAGCAAGAGCTCTGAAATTTGGCCATGAGACAATCTATTTAGTCCTTAATACTACGAAAGACAATTTAATTTTTTTGCCTTTGTTTCCATCGCGATATTAATTTTTTAGCAGAGCTCCTATGTTGCCCAGATCCGGCCACAACAAAACAACGTAATTGTACATACATTTCGACAGGCAAGCTACTTATAAGCTTCTCTTGCAGTTGCAAAGTAGTCTGGCAATCGATTCCATAAATATAAGCCGATCTGGGAACCTACAGGTGTAGCATCGTGAAATAAAACATAACAAGTGACTGGGGTGTGGTGGGGAACGCGAGCGGCTGTTAAATGGTATAGTTCTTACTTTCTTGTCTAGAAACTTTTTCACTGACGTAAGGAATGCATCCGTGGACAAGCCAAAGCCGTGGTTTGCAGGCTCAATTAACACATCTGCAAACCGTTTTTTTTTCTTCATTTTTTGTTAAAAATAATTCCTCCTTCGTTCACATCTTTCAATCCCTTTGAGACATTTTTCAGACCTTTGCAACCCCATTCTAGCAGTCACAACTGGGAAAAGTGTGAGAATTCCCGGTTTAACTCCGACGCTTCTGGTTATATGTAGAAAATGCAGTCACGCAAAACAAGCCGTGCACACGAAATCAAGTCACCTATGAATGAGTGAAGAAAATTTCCATAAGGAGTTGAGTAGAATTACGTTTTACGATTATAGCGGAGCTCTCGCGCGAAGCGCCCGCAGCGGAGCACCATGGGTAAGAAAATAAAGTAATTTACCCGTCCGAGGAAATTTGGTAATCACGTGACCGTACGCTCACCCGCCCGCCCGACCGTCCGCCAGCACCACAGACAAATCAATGTAAAATAACTCGATCAACAGGTATAGCAACCGAAAATCAACTCGAGGTTGTTTCGGAGGAAAATTGTATAGCCACCGGCGTCTTGTAAAGCAGATACAATTAAAGAGTCAATATAGACGAAAACGGAAAGTGGAAATTGTTTCTGTATCCGTGTTGTCTAAAGTATTAAACTTAGATTAATTGTCATGTCCACAAAATTTCGAATATAGCGCAAGAGAAAGACAGAGAAGAAGAGAAAGTAGGTGGCAGGCCAGCGAAGCTCAATGAGAAAAAAGGCGATAGAGATATAGAGCGAGAGATAAAAAAGAAAGGGGACATTTTTTTGATGGAAGAACAACATCAAAATTTTGTAGCGGCGGTGACAAAATGAGAAATACTAGCGGCCACCAATCAAATCCAAGGTGAAAAAGAGAGGGAGTGAAAAAAAGTGAAAAAGAACACGTAAGACATTTTCCCCATTAAAATTGTAACTAAGATAAGAAGTTTCTGGACGTTTCACGTTGTAGTCGTGCAAAAAAACTGCAAAGAAATGTACAAAAAAGTATGCTGCACGTGCAAAGTTGCTTTCTTGCTAATTTAGGGTGGGTTTTTTTTGGGAAAATCCGAATCCGGAATTCGGAATCCAAAAGCGGATTTTGCATTTTTGGGGGCAAATCCAAAAACGGATCATGAATCCATAAAATCCACACTCTGGGTGGATTCTTCGGATCAAATCCACATCTGGATTTTTGAGATTCACAATCTAGGCGTTTTTTTGGGAAAGGATTTGAAAAAAGTAATTTTGACAAGCGGTTTTCGAAACAAAAATGGTACACAACAGATGCCGTACATGTATGACTGAACTGAACCTATGTTGCCGACTTTGAGCCATTAGTTACATATCATTAAATGTTGGCTATCTTTTACATTCGTAGACTGTTTTGAAATCCTTACTTGTCATTTTCTTTGCACGTATGTAGTGGCTGTGTCTGCTTACGCCGGTTAATTTTCCAAGTAATTAAAAAAAAACATTAAATTCATAATTTTACTACCCTTAGGAGTTTATTCTATTCGAGAAACGTTTGTGTTTCACACCGAAATATATACATTTCGTACATTCATACGTTGCTTATGTTGCTTTTATTTTTCTCTTATCTTCGCCGCGAGGATCAGTGTGTTGTTTTCTCCCCACGATATGCACGAGCACATGCCGTTGTCATAAATGATCCTTTTTGGATCTACCGTTTTTTTGGTAGTAAAAAATCCACATGTTCTGAGATCACAAATCCGTTTTTGGATTCTCCCAAAAAAACGCACCCTAGACCTATTGTCGTTGCCTTCCCCGCTTAGCATTACACGATTTTATATTTTGTTTGAACGAACTATAAATATTATCGAAAGCTTCGCTTTTAGCCCTGGCTAAATCTATATATTGAAATCTAAATCTATCCAAAGCTTTAATTATAGTTATAGATATGACATAAATCTTATCCGGATGATGTACGCAGCTGGTTCATCGATTCTGTACAGCAAAGAAAAAACTGCTCAGGCCAATTAAGGCATGACTATCCAGTAATTAAATATGCATATTTCGATAAAATGCTATTCAGAACGGTTTGCTTCTATCAATGATCCTGAAAATTGAACTACAAATGCAGCTTAATGGCCTTAGCAATATGAGTGCATTTTAGAAACTCAAATTTTCGTCACGTGACTGATAATTGAGAATTAACGGTCAAAATATTTACTCTAAAATGGGGAAAGGATAATGAAAGAGCAACAAGTTCTTTTAGGTACACTTCAGAGGCTATTGAAAAGGTTCTTATAAATTCGCCTTGTATGTGTGTTTACGTTATATAGGAATCGGTAAATAAAGGGAAAAGGGTCACGTGACTTATTAATTAGTTAAATAGCTAATAGGATAAATAACATTATTTCCAATCATACAAGAGGAATTTACGATTTAAACTGTTCATTTAACATTTTGGTAGTGAAAATTCCTAAGATTAAGGTTTGCAACCCTTCCTCGTTCAGAAAAACGTGTTCTGTGAAGTCATTGACGAAGCGATGTCACGTGTTATTGAAATCACGTTTCACGTGTTTTTTTCGTGGAGACACATTCGTAGTTCACTTTTCAGGAGCACTGATGGAAGCAACCGTTCCAAATAGCATTTACTAATATATGCATATTTAATTAGGTAGTCATGCCTTAAGTGGCCTGAATGGCCGGATACTGGGCACCTGACATCAATACTTAATGAATGGTTCTGGCCTCCGTTATTCCAAACAAATTGAATTTCAAGAAGAATTAATTCTTAGAACCTGACTTCTGTAAGTATCTTCACTTTAAATATTAATCAGTTTCTTTGAAAATATCACATATTACTAACCCATTTCTGAACAGCGCTAGTTTTGCTGCGCAGTAAACAGCCTAAATATTAGCCATGAAAAGTTTACTCACCTGAACAGAACGGCGCCTTCTGCAACACTGTTTCGCAAGCTGTAAACTCGCCATAACGTTTTTCTTAAAGCTGAAATGTTCAGCTTTCAATCGAAATACTTCGTTTACCGAGAACTGAAAAGGGCGCCTCAAAAATTGAGTTTTTGTTTTAAGTGGCGGGATACTGGTACCGGCCGCATATGCATATACTGGGAAACATACTGTAAGGCTTGATTAAGAAGAGATTAAAAATGATAATAGCCATGCAGTTTGTGTACAGACGTCTTTTCTTTTCCTTTTTGACGACGAATTTGGCAAGCGAGAAGAAACAAATCATTTTCTCCTTAATTTCTTACCCCAGACCCCTTGTGGTTGTTGTCAAAAAATCTTCCGCCGGTTATTTATTTTCATTACGTCCGCTCGACTATCTCTATAATTAAAAGAGAAAATAGAGGGCCTCTGAACAAGCCATAATGCCGATTAAGATTGGCGATAAGGTATCATGGTTATTCGGCAGATATTAAGGATTCTCTCAACGATCGTGTTAATACATGTATAGGCTATGCAAACAGGGGAAAAGTTTTCTTTTGGTTATATAATTATTCAGTGATAGGAATAAACTTTAAGTCACTAAGCAAAATCCGTGAGCGAATGTGTCTTGTCCGGAAATAAATATTTGCTGGGCTAGATAAAATGTTCTACTTGATAAAACGATATTTTTGAATTGCCTTATTGAATATTTAACTTATCTCGCGAATTGCTAATTAAAAGAGAAACTTACTGACTTACAGAGAGTGTAGTACGTTTCAAGCACAGGTCATTCAGACGTGCTTGCATGGACGAGGTGACAGCAACTGCCTTTCAACGCGATTTAGTTTTTTTTTACAATCACCGGCAATACTTTTCAATTGTTTCCACTTTTTTCCTTCATTTTTGGTTTAGTGGCTCTCGTTAGCAATTTGTGGCGCAGGATTTTTAATAAAACTGTTATTCTTGTCTATTTGGTTTGGCCGGATATGAAATTATCGCAGGTATAACAACTCTGCGACGTCGTAAGGAAATTGTTTATTCAATGTTACTACCTTAATCTCTAAAAATAATTCACAATTTTGAGCGTCTGTTATTTAATTAGTTTAAAGAGAAGATTTATATGGATGCCAGGAAACGCCTCGTTAACTGGATATTAAAATGTGGCAGATGCTAAAGTAGCTAAAAAGGCCTTCTTCACAGAGTTAAGACCAACCCGGCTTAGTTTTTGAGTAAAGTGTAACCTTTGGGGGAAAAAAGAGCAAAACTTTATAACTGACAATGGCCTACCAAGTCTGCTATCAAAAGTTAAGTGAGCTATCAGCTCTTGTTCAGTCACACGGAACCTTTGTGCTAGTGTTTTGTATTTTAAACATGGTGTTTTCTCTTGTGGCAATTGCTGCCAATTTGTTGGTAATTCGCGCTCTTTGGAAAACTTCATCGATACCAGCCACTATAAAAAAGTTGTTCCTGAGTCTCGCTTTCTCGGATCTTGCTGTAGGAATGGTGGTGCAACTAATGTTTGTCGTTATCATAGCAGTGATGTTAAGAATGGCGTCGACTGGAAACAAAAACTTTGCCTCATTTTGTCCAAAAATTCTGGGTGTATTTTATTTCTTATTTTCTCTCCTCTGCTGCGCCTCGCTTCTAAACATAACAGTCATTGCAGTCGATAGACTTCTCGCTATTTCATTGCATTTGCGATACCACGAACTTGTTACTGCGAAACGTATCAATCTTACGTTGGCATCGCTATGGTTAACAAGTGGTGGCGTCGGTGTCATGTTCATCTTATTTCGTACGATAAATAACAGTGTAGGTGCAGCTTTTCAAGCTATCGGACTCCTCTTGATGACAGCAGCATATATCCGCATTTACAAAGTTGTAAAACATCATCAGAATCAAATCCAGAGTCAGTTGCATTCACAAAACGCCCAAGCAATGGATCTTCTTCGACAAAGGAGGTCGGCTTTAAACGCTTTATTTGTTTATTTAGTATTCTTAGCATGTTATGTTCCACTTTTTCTCTCTCTATTGTTGCTGCTTACGGTTACTGTAAAGACTCCTTTGTTGTTATTTGACCATGCTTCTGTTTTCTTGATTTTTCTAAATTCCTCATTAAACCCCATACTCTACTGTTGGCGATATCATGAAATTCGTAGAGCAGTCAAAAGCGTTTTAAAGACGGTATTTTGCTGAGACAATAATGATACTTAGATATTTAACGACACAGCCATCTTAGTTTTCCTCAAGGCACTTAAGGTGGACAATGAATGCCAACGTGAGAATGCGCGCTATTTGTGTGTGTGCGGCTCTCCCCCGTAAATGTTCTAACTGAGGCAGTAAGTTAATTGTGAAATATAAAAGATCAGGTAAAGTCATCTACTTCGACGTAAACTCGAATAAGAGTTATTGTGGGGAGTCTCTCCCAGAATGTGCTGAATAACGAGCAAAAAAGAAAAAAAGTTTTGGGCCGTAAATTGCAACCTAACAGTGAACGGAAGATAACAAGAAAGCAAAAACTTACGATATCGATTTCTATTATCCGTACGAAAAAAAAAGTGCCTGGCTATAAGGAGGAAACTGAGGTTGGCTTTCGACAATCCACTGGCTAAAGCCTGATTGCTATTATATGAAGTTTCTTGAGTTGTATTGCGGGAATATTGAAACTTTACTTAGGAAATCTTTATTCAACATATTGTTTATCACATAATAAACTAAGTCTATTGGATGAAACTATCTTGCTAGGATTTTTTTTTTTAACTTAGGCCTAAAAACCTTTTTTTAAACAATATAGCTTATTAATGGGCGAAACATTTCTAAATTGTCAAAAACTTAGTTAGCTTTAGTTAACGAAACTCATGTAGTTTTTGAGCGCTTTGCAAATTTTTAGCCTTTAAACCAGGCTATTTCAACTAGTTACAACTGATGAACTCTGGGTAATTGTGGCATAAGTAACATCATTCAATTTATAACTATAATTACTTTAAAATTGGAAAATGTTGTAGAGTAAATATTTTGAATTTCGTGGATAGAAATACAAATTAATTAAGATTAAAGGAAGATCAAGGTTATCTCTTGTCAACGATAAAATTAAGTAGAATATCATTTCAAAGTTGAAGTAAGTAGAATTGCAAAGATGAAAAGGTTACAAGATATAAATATTTTTAGAGAATGGTAAGTTTAAGTCACGAGCTCCCCTTTTAAGTTTGGCCTAGAGAGAATAAAGGGCAGGAAGGGAAACGCCCAGTCTAGCCCTTCAGGCATGTGAAATTAACCAAAATTAGACCAATTAAACGCTTGCAATCAATCGGAACCTAGTTTCCGGCGAGGTCCGCAAACTTTTAGTTAGTGTTGTCAAGAGAAAATTCAAAAAATCTTCATTACCATACTCTCCATTGTTCGCTTGAAAGCAGTCGCGCGTGGTCTTTCTAGGCGAATCTTTGTTTACACATTTTGCCTCATTAACATAATTATGCTTATCACTATCCGATGACGCTAATAAAATAAAAACTCTGAATATTGAAAGGGCATAACAGTTTCAGTTATCTCTGAAAATTTGAGCACAATACACCGAATGGTTTCGGATAATTCTCTTCCAAAAACTCGAAATTTTACAGAGAATGTATCGCTCATTAACTTTTTAGTTTGCCACACAGCAATTTCGCAGTTTTTGATGGCTGATATTTACTTAAATATTGCTGTCCCATTAACCTCTCTTAGCTTTGCTAAATTTCCATATTAAAGACTTTATGAAATCACCCGACTGCTAACAGCTTGAATAACTTTCTCCCCTTGCTCTGCTCTAAACTGAAAATCAGGCTAGAGGCGCTATTTATTCTGGTTTTCGTTTCGTTGAAGCTGCGTCCATTTAAGAACAGTAATTAAGTATATATATTAATTGAGAATACAATTAATCGAACACACCTTCAAGAAAAACAACAGCGCGCGCATTTGCGAATTCGAATACTGATTCGAATCTGTTTGTTTGTGATGCAGCGGAACGTCATCACATTAGATTTATAGCTTTCAAAAGATTTTGTATGCAAACAGCTTGAACATGGGAACTTTATTTTCTTCGTGTACTAAAGCGAATGATCGTGAATGCTCGTCGTCACAAGAGGAGACCCTGGCGAAGGAGAAGAGAACGAGAAGGAAAAAGAAAGAAAAATCGTCTAAAACCAGAAAGAGCTTGCGAACTTCCGAAGCAAAAGATAAACTTTCCCTTACTTCTGTGAAATCTTGCAGCAGTGCCTGTAGAAAGAGCAAGTCAAGCTTAAGCAAAAGAGCGCAATCAACTGTGGATTTAACTGTAATTGGCCGTGCAATCCCGATTTTAGAAGCACCGATTACCACTGAGTTCGAGCCACGTGCATCAAATACACAAGTTATTAGGGTGCAGCCTAATAACACGAGCGATTATTCCTCAGAGGAATCTTCTCAGTGTACAGGACTCAAGAAACCTTTAACCGGCACTGAAACAAGCGCCTCATTATTAACTCCGCCTGTGGTAGAGGCGAGTCATTGTGAAAGCTTCAACGATCCAGTATCTCATGGTGAAGAATCAAACAAATCTGTCCCAACAGGACAAATATCTAAGGAGCAAGAAACTCCTGCACGAAGCAGCCATTCTCAGTTACTTGAACTGCTGAGAATACGGCTTGATATGGCTGCCAACAACATGGAGATTAACAGACTAATGACAAACGTCGATAGGGCTCTCGATAGAACGACTAGAGCCCTCGAGCTTGGCTTCCGACGCATCATGGCTGCTCGAAAGTCAAGGCGCATCCACGCCTTATCGCAGTTCCAGGAGCAATCTACTGCTATGGAAGAAGAGATGGATTACAACGAAGACGAGGAGGAGACTGGTACCACCGGGGAGGAGTCATGTGGCGAAGATGACGATTCAAGTGCTGAATTTGAGACTGAAGGAGGCGATGAAAGCGACGAGGAAGGTGAAATCCGTCCACCCCTTCGACCAAGAATTTGTTGGCAATAATTGCTTTACTTCGTATACTACCCTCTCCGTTAACCAAGCATCGAAATAACTATTATGGGCTTTCTTTGCGCTAATAATACCACACTGTGTAGAGGACGAATTTTTGGTCTTAGATTGAGGGTGTAAGATTTCTGTTCTGGGCCTCAGATTGCCGTTGATCTTGTTTTTTTTCTGGTCAGCAACAACAAAAGACAAGATAGTTCTAAGTCATTAAGGTTTTTTTTTTTTTTAACTGAAAGTCGCACTCAACTCAGTCTCGTGGGTAATCGTACCTATATACTTATCTGGGAGTCCCTCATGTCTACTTGGAGTCCAGTTACTTGCATGCCTCTTAGAGGAGCGTCATCTGCGAATCAGTCAAGAAAACTTTGTGTATTGCCAGTACATGATGTTAAGTTGGAATGTCCTTTTTGTTGTGAACTGATACTACAAAGAATGAATAGTAAGTAAACAGGTTTTAGGCTTATCTCTTAACTGTAACATCACTCCCTCGTCAAGTTATGAGAAGGTGGCCATGACAACGAATACGAATAAGAAAAGAACAAGTGATCAAAGTCCATAATACATTTGTTTAAGTAAAGACTACTGACTATAATTTTTTCGCCAGACATGCCAAACCAAACCGTGGCTTTGGATTTGCTATTCCTTAAAGTTATGAACAGAGCGGAGAGCTTTCTGAGAAAGTGTGTTCGTACAAGAGTTTTTTTGGGAGAAAAGTTTTGTTTTAAACTAAGAGGTCGAAGAAATAAATAACGAAAAAAATATATTCTACATTAGTATTTTGCCTTTTGATAAATGTCCCTTTCAAGTTGTTTAATTTTATCCTTTTTGCTGCCTTTTGTGCTTATCAAAAAAACTCGAAAACAATGATTCGACATTGATATTCTATCCGCACAGTTGAGAAAAAAATGTGTACATTTACGGAAATTTTCTGTCACCATCAACACTGATGAAAAACTGATGGTTGCAGTTCTGGATCCAGACCTTGAGATAAGAGATGAGAGGTGTGGGGGGGATAGGGGGCGGTCCCCCAAATTTTCGAACTCAGTTTCGTCTAAAAATAAGGGGGCGCGGTTTGCTCACAAAATTTCCCCCAGCTAAGAACTGAACTTGGGTGAATAAACCAACGTTTGCCAAATCACTTGTAACTAGCAGTAACCCCTTCCATAAAAATTTATGTTATTACCGGGTTCCTTGAACAGGACTAACTGATCTGAACGAAAAACGAAAGCAACTATTCGATGAAATACTTTGCAATGTTCTACTCGGGAAGGGTATAGCGGGCCGGGACCAAAAAGTTATCTAGATCAATCACAAATAAACCAAACTTACCACAGATGAATTCTCATGGAAACGAAATCAACTTCAGGTACTATCATTGCGAGGTTGGATATCACACTATACCAGAATCGGAAATGGGCATCTGCGTCAACCCGGACAAAAGAAGTTCTTTTGGAATTATACGTTGAACGTCTATTATCTGCTCTTTTGTGTAATAGCCTTGCCTCCCACTTAAGACTCTCAGATCTATTTCAGACCATTTGAGCCGGGATTTCCCCTTTTTTGTAGCTAGTTGATTTACCCATCGTAAGAAGATATCACTCCTTTTGTTTAGACAGAATATTTTCAATATGTTTACTAAAGGCAGTTTTGTGGTCGAGAGGAGCCCGGCTCTGGTGATGCAGCATTGACGTTCGGGGCTGGATTCCTAAGTCTTCTCGATTGTCTTGTTTTGAAGATCATTCATTACCAGAAATTGATGTCAAATTGGCCTCTCTTATTAGAAAGGGTATGCTCAGCCGCGACGTACGTGCCGATATCTCTCTATGAAAAGGTCGAGCGCCTATTGTAACATTTATAAAAGTTTATTTTATCTAGATACACTGGGGAAATGCAACACCTACGAATTCTGTATCTAAGGAGGTCATAAATACCCCCTTAAATTACTTTTATTTCCCCCTCTGTTAAAGTTTGATTACGTCGTCAGTGGTGCCGGAGTCTCAAAATATTGCTAGATATTAATCCTTTGCACTCTAGATTTGAGCTTTACGGAGAACTACACACGTCCAGTATAGTACGTTTTGGTCCAAACTGAGCACAAAGCACCGTTTCTGTTGCAAGTAGTGTCCAAAGCTCGTCTTCTTCAACTACCATTCAGTTGGGTCGCTTTTTTTAGTCTTTAATTTACTAGCGGTCGGTGTAAAGCATGGACTCACATAGACATGCGGACTACGGATAATCTGATTGGTTGAAATATGATGCCCAGCACATTAACACTAGAAACAATGGGTGCTCACTAAAACTTCCCAAAGCCAAATTAGAATTTGGACGGAGAAGTTTTGCCTTTCAAGGGGGTCTAGTTTACAATACTCTACCTCGGCATTTAAGAAATTTAAATTCTAGGTTTCTTTTTAAGAGTAATTTAAAAGAGTTTTTTCAATAGTATTCCATAACTCACAACTCTTTATAATCTTATAAGTCAATAATTTTTAAAGATTTTGATTTTTGAATCTTAGATTTCTTAGCGTTATTTTATTTTATTTTCCTATTTCGATTTTATTCTTTATTTTTTAGTTATTTATGAGATAATTGCGGGACCCTTTTGATAACAGTTCTTTGTGTTAGAACTGATAGGTTATCCTGTATAAATACTCGCGTTATTATTATTATCTGGCTGCTAACCAGCAACAAGAGAGGATATCCTCTGTTGCCAGTATAAAATTATTTAATAGTTTGAAAAGGAAAAAAATGGACATTTTTGCTGCAAAGGCTTGTTTAATCAACCCGAGTCATAAGGTCGATTTTACAGAGTTTCAGGAAAAACAGAATCACTGAATGGCGTCTACGTTCCTTTCCATACTTAGGAGATGTTCTACGAAACGATGGGTTTTAAAAGGAAATGCTATGAAAATGCTTCAATAATTATGATGGATATGCATCTATAGTCAGTTACATTATATAACGACGTTAGATCGTTTCCAGTTGATGGCAGTGCAATTTTTCACTAGCAGTTTGTGCACTCAAAGAAGAGGTTGTCAACCAGTTTGAAAGGAGAGAGACAGTGAGGAGTTGGTGGCTACTACATGGTAGAACCAGAGAACCAAATTTTCCTGGCGATCTTCACTTTACTGGTCACTTCTTCACCGTTGTTTCCCACAAAAGAAATGTCGAATTTATTCTTCTTGAGAGGATCTTGGATTTCTCCGGCTATAATCTCTGGTGCACCAGAAATGCCAGGAATCTCGACTTCTGTTCCGTACCTAAGCAGCAGATCATCGGCTACAATGTTGCCTACGCCATCGGGCGGTCCGTCGAGCTGGACAGCCTTATGAAACAAGAACAAAACCCTTTTCGTTAACATAATTATACATCTTCTACAGTGGAACCCGCAACACGAACACCGGCCGGGGATATATTTAATATGTACTGGCTTGGCCGTAGGGATCCCGGAATCTCAAGTCTTTACCAGACCTAGATCAGCCGAATTTTCAGGCCCTATACTAGACTAAACTCCCCAAATTCCCCCTACCTTTTATAGAGTCAGTATTTTCCAGAAACTGCTGAGGTCGACGCCTTCTTTGCTATTTTACTGAGTTAATTTTTTAGCATCTATCCCTGGTTTCCGCAGTCTAGAATATAAGGTCTTAATCAAGTTGATCAGTTTACTGGAAACATGCATATGATTCCCTATTTCTAGACCCACACTCTCTGCTAACTTTACAACCTATCCCAGTATAAACTGATCGTAAACCAAAGCCATATTTATCCTGAAACATATGGCAATACTGTGGATTCCAGATTCCTTGATTCCTGATTCCACTCTTAAACGGGATTTCGGATTCCTTGGCCCGAATTTGCAGGATTCCGTATTCCACAAGCAAAAATTTGCCGGATTCCGGAATGCGGATTAACTTATTTGGGGCGAGAAATTTGTTTCTCTAAATCGATGAAATTGGTCGCGTGTATTAGTGAAAAAGGTAACCAGATTTTAGTGTGAAATTACTTTCAAACTAATACCGCTTTTTATACAATTTTGCGTTTTTATGGCATGGAAATTATCAATTTTAACTCTACTTCATTACATAGTTTACCTGAAAGAAATCAGGGCTCTTGGTCGGAATATGGAACAAAAATACGTTCTTTTTGTCCCCATACATGAAGTAGGAACTAGACTCTGGGTAGTCATCGTTGTCAAAGTGCTCGTAACGTGGCACGTCCACGATTTTCATCTTTGGGCTCATGAATGGATTCTTGTCGTCATCGGATGGCATACCAACAAAACAATCAAACTTTTCCTTCTCCCCAGCGTATTCCGATTCTTCAAAGAAGACATCATGGAGTTTCTGCTTCCCTTTGCTTCTGAAAATTATTGGCTGAGGATCTGTGCTTGATTGCATCAGCTTCGTTTGCATGCTGATGTACTTTTCGGCGGCTTTGTCATTCATGAACTTGAGCTTCACAACGTTGTCGTACTGCTTGGGGACTTTGTTAAAGTCTCCCACGTAATATGCGATCACCTCATTTTCTTGATTAACAACTCCCGTGCTGACGAAGTTGTGAAGGACGTTAGAATCTGTGACCTGCAAAAGTGTCGATGCAGCTTGTGAGATAGTGGTAAAATTGTTATTGCTTCAGAGTCAAAATGGAAGGAAACTGAACTCTCAAGAACGACATCGACATAGCTATTACCATCATGATATGTGTCATGTTGGGAACACCTTAGAATACCCTTTTAATACCCCGTCAATAGACCAATTTCGATATATCAAAATTCACGGCATACTTGGCTCCGAGGCAAAAACAAAAGAAATGTATCATTCATTTCTGAACCTGACTTCTTTTGTTTTATTCCCCCAAGCCTCGCAGCCAAGTAGGAACTTAACTTATCAAAATTGGTCGACTGGATTTCATTGTACAATTTTAATCAAATTTTGTGTAAATCTAGACATTTAAGAGGCCCTGCGCCTAAGAAACGACCGATGATTTCTGGCTAAAAAATAAAATCGGCCGATTTTTATCTCCCAAGTAGAGGTTACCGAATACTATTCAAAAATGAATTTCTTTTGTTTCAGTTTCGCTTTAAACCAAAAATATCGAGCCGCAAACCTTTTCCGTCTGATAGCAGCAAAATCAGGCCTAAAATAAGCCCTCGCAAAAAACGGTTCAGAAATCACTATCGCGACGCAAAACAACAAGAAAACCACACAGTGATGAAGAAAAAGGCCTTTTAATGCAATATCATTCGATAAACATCGAAAAACTGCCGAAGGGAATAAAAAATAAATTTTCAAATATTGCATATTAAATTAGATGGAGCGTTGAAGCTGATTTTAAAACAATTGTTTCTCAAAAGTCCAACGCTGTTGAAAGCAATCACAGTGATGAATCAGACATTGGACGGATATACATTACGATTCTGGAAAAACATTTCTCGGCCAAAGTATATTGACGTTGTACAAAGCGTTCAAAGTTGCAATGTTTACCGTTATCTTGTTACTTCGGCGAAACACTTCTCTGTTGCCAATACGGCCGTGGACAGCGTGGTAAACGCCACTTTAATCCTTGCTAGGCGCTCAGAGACCATCCTAAGTAGAAGGACGTAGAATTAAAAGAGAAAGGAAGATGAAAAATGGGCAGAAAAAGAAAAGAACTCGAAATTACCATCTGCTGACGAAACTTGAATCTGGAAAATGTCGTCGTGTGACAGCGGCGTCATTTGTCTAAACTGCGGCGGAATCTAAACGAATGCACAACTTTTTCCCGGCCAGAACGCACTTAGTGAAACAATGTTACAGTAATGTTATTTTTTCACAAGCGATGGTGACTTAAAAAGAAAAAAGTCCCGAACCGCCGCACCGTTTTGGCCTCAGCGTGATCTGATCGTTGTGGGGTCACGAGTCCACGCTTCTGGCCAGCGGTCTATTGAAAGAAATTTGATCCCACGTTTTTTTTTTTTTTTCGGGCCAGAATCATTCATGTCAATGTCCAACGTCTTCCTTCAAGGAAAAAAAGAGAGAGGTATTGGAGTACTGTTGCTCCCGAGAACGAGAAACATCTTGGTCCCGAAAACTGAGTTCATTACGCCCAAGAATTGCGGTTTTTTTTCTCAAAGGACTACTATATGTGGCACTATAAAATGTAGCTAACAGATTCAATTCCTGGCACAATGATTAGCCTCGCGTTTAGTATTTTCTTGGACATGAAAATATCGGGGGTGACGCTATTCGGTGGAATGGTGGACTTACGGAATGACGGAACGGAATGATGGAATACATGGAATATTGTAAAATACGGAATATACGGAATACTCTAAAACGCAGAATAAGAGAAAAATCTTTTAAAAAGGGTATACATGTATACAGTCGACTCCTATGACTCGAACCCTCGCTACTGACTCGAACCTCGTGCTAACTCGAAGTAATGCTAATTTTTGTTTCTCTTCAGATCATTTCTATATAATTTTACCCTCATTAACTCGAACCATGTTTTAAGCGCGTGACAAGTAAAAGAATTGACTTACCGTAATCATTCGATTTAGCGCCCAGGCGCTTATTTACTTTTGGTGCCTCTAGGGAGGACGCTTATTCGGGACAGGGCGCTTATTTCTTTTTTCAGAAACAACCAAATGTTGAAAAAAGAACCTTGATATTTATTTAAAAACGAACAACATTTGAAACTGTAGCAGTAACAAATACTGAAGGTGAATGCTCAGTTAACGCGAGGGACTTACCTTGAAACTTGTTGGGCACTTTGTCGATGGAACTTTTCTTCCTTATATTCACCTTTCTTAAAAAAGCTCGCAGTCAATATAAAGTGCAAGTCGATTAAGGTAATGGATGAAGGAGACTGGAAAACGGACTTGTTGTTCCCGGATCCTTCCTCGCCAGAACGACCAGCCGAGCAATCTCCACAAAATTTGAAGAAGAGATCATTCCTTTGAAGACTTTGAAGACTCTTGAAAATCTAAAGCAAGCGACCGGACAAATT